ATAACTAATAATTATTTTATGCATTACTCATTATTTTACCTTTTTGATGACTATTGTACTATTAATTTATAAAGGCCAATAACATTATTTTTAAATAGCTGAGAAGTTCCTGATTATTTGGTATTCTGCTCTCTAAATAGTAGGAAGATAATAAACATTCTGTTGTTTCTTCCTATTCAACTTTTGTTTTCACTGAGGCAAAACATGTTAACTTTGCCCCTCAAACAGGTGAATGATGATGTTGGGATAGATTGGACCAATGAAAATGACCGTCTCCTGGTTTGTCAGATGTGTATAAAGTTGGCTGATATCAATGGGCCAGCTAAATGTAAAGAACTCCACCTGCAGTGGACAGAGGGTATTGTCAATGAGTTTTATGAACAGGTAACTAACAACTGTTTAATCTCCTTTAATCTCCACCTTCAGGCTGCTCGTGAATTCTCCAAAGCTAACAAAAGCTATAAAAGTATGATCACTCTATTTCATATTCATACTTTCATAAGAAATTGAACTGGCCAGTTTTGATCAGGAGATAAAAAATGACATATAAAAATTATACTAAACTATAACTGTAGAACTCTAAGATAAAATTATTTGCAAGTTTTTTGGGGGGAAGAAGATATTTAGATAATGGAAGCCGGACATTAGGAAGACCCTTGAAATACTCTTCTTCTATGGACTGATTTATTGTAATGGAAGCTAGTTTAAATTTATATGGAGGAATGTGTATCAGATTAAGTTCATTTACATTTCTAATAGAATTAATAACAACATATATGAAAAACCTAAAAAGTAATAGGCATTTTATTTGACATGATAACGTGAGAGTTAACAGGCTACCAGAAAACTTACCGCAATAACATAAGCATGGGGTGGTCTTCCCCACATCACCCTGCTCTGCTCAGACTGTACTTGAAGCTTCCTATTTAGTATTGTGAACTACTCTCTTAAGAAGAATGTGGAGGGGCCAGGCAAGGTGGCTCACGCCTATAATCCTAGCACTTTGGGAGGCCGAGGCAGGTGGATCGCTCAA